AACTCTGGTGACGAGACCTGGAAAGTAGCGGGTTCTCCTTGATAGGGGTTGATCCCGCTTTGACTAACGATTAACGCCCAGTGTTTGAGGCCTACTTGATCTGACCATTAGACATTGAAGAGTTAATTCATCCTTTTCCTTTAAATACTTAAATGCAACCTTACTTTTCAAATGAACCAGCTATGATTGGGGGTTTAGTAGGCTTTGTACTCAAGTCTGTTGCTTGGTTAAATGGGATGCGCTTAAAAGTTTATTCCCCTCACTCTGAGTAGATGGCTCACGGGCAGGCAAGAAGCCCGTAGTCCTCTTGTGTGAAGGCCGAATGGTATGTGACTATAAATGGGAAGTCGCTCAAAACGCTAAATGGGAAAGTGGTTAAATGGGCTCGGACTTTTCCAAGTTTGGGTTCTCACTTGTTTCATCTTGGTTGAAAATCACAGTATAAAAGGGTGTTTTCGGTAATGTTTGAGCAAGCGTCAGACACTGGCTTTCGGGCCAGGCAATATACCACTGTCGTCTATGGGAGAACTGCAGCTCAGACGGTCTGGTATGATGTTGGAAGAAGAAACCTACGACCTATCATGAATTGTGTCTCAGTAGAGTAAGCATTGCCATATTACCTCGTGATCTGTTTAAATTTTGGCCTGTTGTCGTGAATGTTCTGTGTGCTTCCCGACGAAGTTTACTATTATGGGCATCGGGGTACTACTCGAACCGGGCCCTCCAATTGTGGTATTCAGACGAAATCTGTCGTGAATGATACCCGGTGAGGCTTACGTAAAGCTTTGTTTTCTGACCAAGACCTTTGGTTTAGTGTCAAGAGTTTGAACTCTCACTGCTGGTTCCTTCTTGCCTGGCCCTGGTAATCCGTAGCTCTACAGTCAGCGATTGCCACTCAATCTGACAATCGCAAGGTGCGAAGCCCAATATAGTATACAGATAGGAGTAACATTCCGCTGGTTACATCTTGATGAGTGTCTACTTGAAACAACAGTCCGTGATGCTCTGCAATGCATGTAAGCGAATGCTGAGATTGTTACAGGAAGAATCATAACGAGTAGTACCATATGGTAGTGATAAAAGTTAAGAGCTACAGGTTGTGACATTCCATGTACTCGGTGAACTGGGTTCGTGATTGGCAGTAGCCTAGCTCTAAGTGCTGGCTAATTAGGCCTTCAATGTTGCCTTTGTCCTTATCAGGCGTGGATCATCACTAAGTGACGCCGTATGTCTGATTGGACCCCTCGACGAGGATCGTTGCATGACTCAGAGCTAACTAGAAACCTTCCTGCGTGAGCTAGCAAAAGAAAAGGAAATCATGATGATCATTTAAACCCTTTGTGAGACTCGTCCTACACGCTGTAAGTTGACTAGGTCGTGAAGGTCACTCACAGTAAGCTTTCCAATCTGAGTCAAACCCAGCGAGCCATTAGCGCCTGTTTCGGGAGCTACACCTGGCAAGAACCAAATACGTAGCTTGTTCACGGGGGTCTTGGCATGATCTATGCTTATTCGGACGCCATTTGACTATCTCACGGTTTATATAGCTCCTAATGAAATCTTCACTATTCTGCTAACTCATATAGTGAGTTGAGCGGCAGAACAGCAAAAGGCCCCGTCATCTGGCAACAGGGAAAAGGGGGGCGAGGATAGAATGTCACACTGAGCGATTGATTGCTGGTTGTTAATGAAACTGTAATAATGAGGGATGCAGATGTACAAGTAGTGAGATGCAGTATTCGGAGGGAGAAATATGAAGGGTGGGAAAAGGAGATTGAACAAGATGTGGCGCTCCACAAGCAGACTCTGAGGGAACTCGCAGTTCGAGAAGCCGGGGAAAAAAGGTATATTGAGTACATTTTCAATTATCATGATTACAGTGGCAAACTACATAGTACAGTCTCATTCTTATAGATGATTGAGCGAGCCAGAGTGGAACTCAGGGGCATATGAGCTCATGTGATTGAATGCCTAGACTCGTTCTCCGAGTACTCCTGTGGGCTACTCAGCAAAAAATCTGCCAGTTTTTTTATGTTAAACCTTTAGATTAGTTCCTGATCGACAGTGACCTGCATCCAGAGAATCGACAATTGGCAGTGATCAATCATCCGGAGCCTTACCGGTAACCCATGATCAGAGCTTATTCTCACCCTGTCACTGCCAGTTATTACTTGAGTCAGCACCGGTCGAGTTGTGTCCTCAACAGAGAGAGTTGACTATTGAGAAAGCTGCAAGCACTTGCAGAGCCATCGTCTGTCAAAAAGTCAGCAACAGATAGACACCACCCCACTCAAAGCCAGCAGCCACAGGAGTTCAGTTGAGTCCTCCCTTGTCTGTAGTCTACCCTATTCACAACTTGAATCTTGAGACGAGAGAGAAGTCATGAGAGAGATGAAGTCCTAGTGATGAAAAACAGATCAAGTAGAGATAAGAAAAGGTTGGGAGTATGAGGCTTGTCAGGGCATGGACTCTCACATGCAGACTCAGAGGGAACTTGCGGTTGGGATTACCGAAGGGAAAAAGTATATCGAATATGTGCTCTACTTTTATGGCTACGATGGCAAGTTACACAGCACTGGCTCATTGCTAGTGACGGTGGAGCAGGCAAAGGCTAGGCTCAAGTGAGCATAGGAGTGTCCAAACTTTCCTATCAGCATTTCAGATGCCAAATGTTGGCCAACAGACAACCTTATTTTCAGCGTTCTGCCACTAAGTGACCAGTGTACAGTGACTTACTACCCCAACAACATTCATTCATCTGAGCTACCATAAAGCATCATTCAGATTCAATCAAGCGTTCAATCATTTTCACTTGTCCTAGAGATCATTTTCAGTCAAACGGTGTTTCCTTTCAAAGACATTGGATCGGTTTCAATAGTCATTGTTGCTCATGAGTGCAGTTCAATCATTCCCAATCGAGGGGTCAATCTTGACCAGTCTCAACAGGATAGCCCTCAGGGATGCTATCCAGTATCAGTACGTCAGTGTCATTGGCTTCAGCCAAGGGGACCTGTCAATCTTTGTTGTCCTCACTAGTTTCGCGGGTGGTATCATTCATGACCTAAGACTCTATGTTAAGAAGGGTAAAGAAGCCCATGAGCACTTTGAATCAATCTGGATTTCGGCTGTCAGGTACCTTGAGGAGAGAGAGAAAGAACTTGATGAGAGTGGTATTAGACTGATCCGTAACTTTGGACCCAAGCTCTACACCGACTACCCCAAGCCTCCAGTACCTTTCACTCTCATAGATGACTCTTGCTGGGGAGACCTTGTAGATCTAGCCAAGAGGTATATTTCTCCTGCAAAGATTGATTACGAGGCAGTGACCGAACCATCAGAGTCTTGGCATCTCAGACGAGGGATCTTCTCTCAACCATATCTTCCTACTCTATGGGAGGAGTTTTGTGCTATGGTTGACTTTCGTGTCATGGGACTTGGATGGAAGTGTTCTGAGCTTGCGGGTTTTAGTTGGCTCTATATCCAGAGGCCACAATCTCAGGAGGTTCATAGGCGTGGTTCGAGGCACAGGAAACGCAAAGCCAAATGAGATATCAATGATGAGACTTTAGAGGGACGAGTGAGGACTCCTAACGAGTGCTGGCCATGCCTATCTATCTGTGCTTCCTGAGACTATTACGAGTTCTCATTCTTCCCTCACTTACCTTTGTCATTGCTCAAGCCAGTCAGTCTTGCATCGTCCACATTGCCTTTGCTTGATGATTATGCTCTCTGATGATCGTGTCACAGTTCTCAAAATTAGTAAAACTGGGAAAAATTGATACATGCATGACACCAGAATTTCATGATTATTACTTGCATAATCTTTGCTGTTCCGAATCAAGATAAAAGATTCCTAAGACCGGGGACCGGCGAAGACTGCAATTCAAGGGTTTCGCTCGAAGCCGGACGCACACAACAGGAAGGGATTTGCTTGATTTAATTTATTTATTTATTGCAAAACAACAGCAAAATCCTGTGTGACAGCCTGTTGGTTTTCCGGTCGCTCGAAGTGGCCTGACTGGGAAAAAGTGCGACACCGTGGTACAACCTCCTCCTTTTGTCCCACCGGTAACTGGAGTAGCCCCATTTGCAGTCTCTCCATCTTCGGTGCAAGCCGCTTCCCTATTGGGATTGTTTTTGATAGGAGGGTTAACAGCAGGTCCTAGTGTACAGGTTCCTGTTCAGACAGTGATCTCCCAACCTCCGTTGCAGACTATCGTAAGTGGGCAATCGACCGTCTCGCAGCCGGCAAGCCGCAAGGTACACAGCCCCAGCAGCAGCTCGTGCAGCAGCCTGCACCCCAGGGTCCACAGCGTGGAGTGGTGCAGGCACCGGGACAAGGACAGTGGGTTCCCAAGACTGTCATTGCTTCGCCTAAACCCTTCTCAGGAGATAAAAGGGGTGAGGACCTCGACACATGGTTGAGGTCAGTGCCAGTCTATGTGAAGTGCAAGTTGACCTTGCCTCACGAGAAAGTGTTTGTGGTTGCCTCCTATCTGGAGAGGAGTGCAGCAAGATGGTTAAGCGGGTACGTGCAACTGCAGGGGTACGGTCATGACTTTCGCGCTTGGGCAGTCAACCAGAAATTGGATGACTTCCTTAAGTTGGTGGAGGAAAGGTGGCATGATGGGGTCATACGGGTAAGCTTGCTTACCCGTCCTCTCCAGTGTTGCCTCTGTGTTGCACTGCAGCAGAGCGCGGCACAACCCTCTTCTAAAAGGCCACTGATGCGATCCTGACCCTGAGCTCGAGGAAGTTCAGGTCAGTAAGGGATGCCACGGACGCTATCGAGCGTCTGATCTGTGTACCTGTAGTGCATTACGATCCGTAGGTCTTACTCACCACTTACCTGAGGTGTCCTCCCATAGAACTCAGGAATCAGTTGGCAGGTGAGGCCATGCCGCCATGATCACAGTGCACAACTTTCTCTCGTTCAGCAAGAAGGCCCTAGATCTAGAGGCCAAAATCGGGCATGGGCACCAACCCACAACGGATGGCAGGAAGAAGACGTTGCCTCCCAACTGGAAGGTGAAGGGTCGCGTAATGTTCGTCAATAATGATGGTTCAACCATAGAGTTCGACGACGACTTCCAGGAGGGAGTAGGGTCAGAGGCGGGCAGCGCAGAGCCTTCAGGGGGTGGAGCAGTCGCTGCCTCTGTGCAAAAGGTAAGGCGACCGGTAAACGTCGCGCAGGCTCCCAGTCTAGGAGTCAAGTAGACCCCAATGCTCCTCCATGGGAGAAAGCGGGTCTTACTAAGGACGTGTGGAGAGACCGTTACTCCCGGCAGGCTTATATCCGTTGTGGCCAATATAGCCATAACCAATTCAAGTGTCAGAATAAGAAGGTGATGGAAAAGATCCCGCCTACGATGGGGCAGACGTTGGTCTCCTTCGCTTCCCCGGGTAGCAATGTTGCCAGCAGTTTTGGCACTGCTCCGAGAAACACGTCAGGCCAGTAGGAATTGTAGTTGTTCCTGCTAGGGTCGAGGTGGTGGACACACCCTCACCATCTCGAGAGATGGCCCAACTATTGACTCCGTTGTCGTCCCGCAAACACTTTCGGACCAATCGATCCTCTGTTCGATGAATGTGTTTGAGTCCTTAGAGGAGCTAAAAGAGGAGTGGTTTGGATCGGACCCGCTAGCATCTTGGACGACCATGGCTAAAGCTCCTAAGGGTGAGTTGTTCGTCGGCGAGGTAGATATAGGCGACCGCAAGGTCGGGGCCTTTTACAATACTTGCTCGATGAGGAACTTTATAAGTTGTGCGTGCGTTGAGAGGCTGCGCTTACAGGGGCAAGTGCGGCGCCTGAGCTGACCTGTGGCGTCGACCTGTGCCAACAAACAGCGCATGGTAGTCAATGACTACCTCAAAGACGTCGAGTGTCGTTTCCTGTATGCGGGAGGGGAACTGAGACATCGAGTCTCATTCCTAGTCAGCGATGATCTCTCAATGGATATCTTGTTGGATATGTACTATCTTTCGGTTGCACAGCCCCAGTTTGACTGGGACCAAAAAGTGGTCAAACACACTTTGCCAGGGGGGGGACCGCCAGATTACGTCAGTTCAAGGCTAGTAGTATGATTGAGTCCTACAGATGCATGTGTGCGGCCGCGTTTTACAATTATTATAAGCAAAATCCGAAGGAGGGTATGTACTTAGTTTACATCTCTGCAGAGGGCGAGCCGGTGAAAATGCCTCCAGAGATAGAGGTAGTGGTCGCTAGATACCCTGATCTATTTGAAGAGTCGAAAGGGGTTGTTGAGAGGAAGGTCGTCCATGCGATAGAGATTATCCCAGGGTCTAGTATTCCGAAGGGTAGGATCTATCGGATGTCTCCAGCTGAGCTCGATGAGCTTCGCCGACAACTCAAGGAACTCATAAAGAAGGGTTGGATCTGACCTAGTGTTTCCCCTTACGGATCTCCTGTTTTATTTGTACCAAAGAAGGGAGGAACCTTGAGGATGTGCATTGACTATAGGGGCCTCAATGCCATCACTGTGAAGAACGCAGAGCCCCTACCTCGCATCGATGACTTGTTGGACCGAGTGCAAGGGTGTCGGTACTTTAGTAAGATAGATCTGAAGTCCGGGTACCATCAGATTGCAATCCGCCCCGAGGATCAACAAAAAACCGCTTTTCAGACCAGGTACGATCTGTACGAGTTTGTGGTGATGCCTTTTGGCCTTTGCAATGCTCCTGGCACCTTTCAGCGCGCCATGAACCGGATCTTCCATGACTACCTGGACAAGTTTGTCATCGTGTACCTCGATGACATACTTATCTTTAGTAGGACTGCCGAGGAGCATATTGGCCATCTAGGCAAAGTCCTTAGTCTCCTTCGGCAGCATCAGTTCAAGATTAACCGGGAAAAATGCGAGTTTGGCCGCACCCGGATCTTGTATCTGGGTCACGAGATTTCCGCAGAGGGATTGAAGCCCGAAGACGCGAAGGTAGCCAGCATTCGCGACTGGCCGCGTCTTCAGTCTGTGATTGAGATGAGGCACTTCTTAGGGATGACCGGCTACTACCGTAACTTTGTAAACAACTATAGCATAGTGGCCGCCCCTTTGGCGGACCTGACACGCCTTGGCACCCCTTGGGAGTGGAAAGACAGGTGTGAGGCTGCTTTCAGACATCTGAAGCACTCCTTAACACACCATGAGGTCTTGAAACTTCCTGATCTTGACAAGCCATTTATAGTAATCACGAATGCCAGCCAATATGGCATTGGTATCGTGCTTGCGCAGCAAGAGGGGCCAAAGTTGAGGTCGGTCGAGTACATGTCCAAAAAGATGCCCTCTCAGAAGTTGGCTAAGTCCACCTATGAGAAGGAGCTCTATGTGATCTATAAGGCGCTAACCCACTGGAGACACTCCCTCCTTGGGAGGTTCTTCTACGTCATGACTGATCATCAAACCCTAAAGTGGATGAGAACCCAGTCGGTGCTCTCCGATGCGCTGAAACGCTGGATCGAAGTCATTGAGCAGTATGACTTCGAACCCCAGTACATCAAAGGAGAGTATAACAAAGTTGTAGATGCGCTGTCACGTAGGCCGGACTTCCTGGATGCGTTGATCACTGAGTTCGGGCTTTCGGACGATGTTACTCGGTCCCTGGTGGTAGCCTATCGCGAGGATCCGTCTATGTCAGAGATCATACGCAGGCTCGAAGCGAAGGACAAAGTAACTTCTGACGAGTTTGTAATGGTCAATGTCCTGCTGTTCCTTGAGAAGGTCGGGAATAAACGTTTGTGTGTGCCTAATCGGGAGTCTTTGCGTAGTTTATTTTTAGGAGAGTGTCATGACGCCACCGGACATTTTGGCTATAAGAAGACTGCAACCAACCTGCAGCAGCAGTTCTGGTGGCCCACGATGATGAGAGACGCCAAGCTGTACATGGAGACTTGTCAGGTATGTCAGAGGGACACGCCACGTACACAGGCCCCTCTTGGGCTTCTCAAGCTCCTTCCGATACCGGAAAGGCCTGGTGAGAGCCTGGCCATGGACTTCATGGACATGCTGGTCACCAGCAAGAGCGGGATGCGATACGTCTATGTCATTGTGGATAGGTTTAGTAAGTATGCTAGGTTAATCACACTGCCCGAAACAGGCAAAACCGAGTACGTGATTAAGCTGTTTAAAGAAAACTGGGTCAGGGATTTTGGACTGCCAAAGTCTATAGTTAGTGACCGTGATGTGCGATTTACCAGTGAATTGTGGAAAGCCGCAGCTGCAGAGCCGCGGACACAGCTGCAGATGACTTTTGAGAACCACCCAGAGGCAAACGGACAAGCAGAGCAGCTGAACCGCGTTGTACAACACCTGCTGAGGCACTATATCAATCCTAACCAGGTGGACTGGGATGAGAAACTTGCTCTCATCGCCAGGCTGTACAACAAGGCTGTGCGCAGCGCAACAGGGGTTAGCCCTAACAGTCTGCTACTGACCTTCACGCCAAGACTGCCCCCAGACTTTCTATTACCTGAGAACCAGCCGATTGCCCCCAGACTTTCTATTGCCTGAGCACCTGGCACCTTAGAATTCGCCTATCCGATATGAACGTATGATGCAGCAAGTTGTAGAACACATGCATAAAGCGCAGGCTGCAATGATAGAGTCTGAGAACAAGCATTGCCGCCCATCTACGTTCCAGGTAACGGAATAGAATCTGGGTCAAAGCCTCAGAACTGGGGCAGGAACATGGAATCTCCCGCAAGCTCATGCCATAGTACTTCGGGTCATTGGAGGTTCTAGATGTTGTCGGGGATGATATGGACGGGCCATCGTATGTAATTCGAATCCCTGGTCACCTCCGCGCCTACCCTGTTTTTCACGCCTCTAAGCTCGCACCCTCCAAGGAAACTGATCAGTTTCCCTCTCGTCGCTCAATGCTGCCCCCAATCATGGACGGAGAGGTCGACATCGCCGACATCGTGGACTATGGCGAAATGCCAGTTTTAAGACCAAGAGGCAGGGGACGTCCTCCTAAGCCGAAGCTGCAATATCGCGTTCGGTTCAGACATCAAACTGATCCTAAAGAGGACACATGGTTTACCCAGGGGGAACTGATGCAGACCGCTCCACAGGCTGTCGCTCACTATGAGAAGTCACTGCAGAAAGGAAAGCGCCAGATTGAGTAATTGAACTTCTCAGAGGACTGTCGAAGTATGGAGGAGGGAATGCGAGGCTCAAGGCCTCGATGAGCCCTACTGGGCTCTGTTTTCAGCAATATCGGCCGCCCTAAGTGAAGGCAGGCCTGCCCAAGGACGAGAGGCCTATTGTGGGCTTTCCACGATACTGGGAAACTCAGGCAGTTGCGCAGCGCCAGTTGGTTGAGAGAACCCAGGCCCTGCCTGCCTTTCTCAAATGGCAGGCCCTGGGCTAGACACGGGGCATGGACTGCACACAGGCCGCTGGCAGTTGGGCACAGGTAACCACCCCAGGCCCTGTGTCTGATTCCCTTGGACCGGGGCTCAGCCACTTGGGGCTTACCGGAAGCTTCTGGGCAGGGGCCCAGCACAGTCAGCCAGCAAGCAGCAGGCAGGCCATTTCCATATAGGAAAGAGCCTGCCCCCGCATTCGGCATTGGGGCACTTGCTACGTGCTGCGCAAGCGTTGCTGCGCTATCAACTGGCAAGCGCCCACGCGCTCACGGGCGATTAAGGTCCACGCAGGCAGCCATAGCCGAGCTGGCCTGTGAGGTGCTGGATGGGGCGCATGGTGGTCCTTGGGTGCACGTGGCATCTGTGTGGGGGATTGGGTTTGTGAGTGATGCGTGAGACATACCTGGTGCTTGAGGCGAACGGCATTGGCCGAGATCTGCTCGTACTTCGGGGAGCTGTTGACGTCACCAGCGGCATTGTAGATAGGCTAGATAGGATCTGCCATTCGTAGTCTGGGCGCTGAGTGCCAGATAGGAAGTCGACATTGGTTCATTGTTGATGATGATGAGACTATTCCAACATTGTCACTTGTGAGCTTTTGATGTGCTCTTATTTGGTGGAACTCGAGTTGCAATTCTGCTTTTGGTTCGAGGTCACGACTATCTGGTTTCATGTGTATGATAGTGCTTGGTTTCTGGAATTCGCTATCGCTCATTTTCCTTGCGGCATGTGCTGCACTCCACACTTATAAAGGAGCCCTGTTTCATTATTGAAAGAAAAAAAAAGAACGAAAAAAAAGGACAAGGAGTCCAAGCAAGCAGGGTCAGAAGGAAAACATAGACAAGACCAAAATGTAGGGAAAACCCGGAAAAGAAAACAATGGAACATGAGAGAAAGGGGTAATGAGAGACTGTTCCGTCGGGCTCTCGCCTACTTTGAGTCATAATCTACTTTGATGACAGTTGCGGAATCGCCATATTGATGTTTTGAAAGCTTTGAGTCATAATCTACTTTGACCCTTGTTGCGAGTGGAGAGCCAGGCAGGTGCGAAAACAACCAGCAAGACAAAGCAGACAGCAGTAAAGCAAACGGTAGACAGGTGAGCAGACGGCAAGCAATAGAGGAGCAAAAGCCAAGTAACAGCCAGGCACACGGTTCAAAAAACAGGCAGGCAAGCAGCATGACACCCAAGCACGCATCCGCGCGACAGGCAACCAGGTTGAGGGGAAGTGGGGCAAGGAAGGAAAATGAGCAGGGAAGCAGCGAAACCAAGCAGCGGGGCAGGGAGGCTCTGCAAGACAAGTGGAGAGGGCACCATGAACTTGGTTGTCTGGCAATTTTCTCGCCACTCACACACAAGGTATCTCACACATGCCCATACATGCACAAGACAAAGGGGAGGAGAGACAGAGTCCAAACTGTACACAGACCAGAGATAAGCAGCGGAATAGCAACCATGCACAGATGGGGAGAATACACACAGTGTTTCTCTCTCTCTGACAAACTCCCAACAACCAATCACAAGATGACACTGCGAAGATCACAATCGGAAATATAACACTGATGATGAGCCAACTCAACGCAATTAACCCCAATTATCGATACAGAGTTTAACCCAGTGTCTCGCCATTCCAGAATCACACACACACCCACTTCTCCAYTCTCAKAGTCCAGCGCTACACTGAAACAGCCTCCCAGAGGCCAGCGCCATCCACCCAGATGAAGATCATGAACTGCGATGTAGTCCTCAGTGCCGATGAGTCACTYTGACGAAGAAGAAGGCAGCTATGGCTGCCTAGCTGCTACCGTAGCAGCAGCGCCCACAYGTACCCAACGAAGAGCCTCAGTATAGCCCTGCCTGACGCAGATACCCCCAGAGGGTAGATGCGCTGAGACTGGCCCCAGCTATGGYYGTCTCTCCAAGGCTGGCTATGGCTGCCTCACGTAGCTGAAGTCTCAGGTGCCGCTGTAGACTTTYAGCGCTGCAACACTTGGTTGGCCACGAACGMGGTCACGCGAAAATGAATTGCCAAAAGCCCTGAACCGATTTTCCCAAACTATTTATAGACGCGCTAACCTACCCTAGACCTAGACCGGACTGACTGACCGAACGGTACCATTGCTGTTTCAGCCTTCCGGCCTCTACCGGACCCGACTATAGGCTATAGGACCGTCTAGCAGTATAGGCCACTTAGGGGCTGTCTGTCCTAGGGGTAGCCCGGGCCTGCTATCAGCAGTTAGGGTAGCTGTAGGAATTCGGTTAGTACCGGGCTTGTATTTTCCCGGATTTGCAGATCTGTCCCTCACGAATTTCCTTACAGGCAGGTCTCTCGGTTAGCCCTCAGCCAAACAAAATTACGAATCTAACCTATGGGTTAGTGTACAGCCTTGCAGTCAAGCTCGGCAACAGAAATCAGCAAGTCATTGCAGGCTTACCCTCCCCGGGAGCGAGGACCTCCGAGCTAGGGGTGCAGGCGAGGTGAACGACGAAGGTTACCCTTCTGAGCCGCTTCATACCACAGCACAATAGACTTTGCTGTCTTGAGAAGACCCTTCCTGTAATACCACCGGTTCTCAGTCGGAGGTTGGAAGGCAAACTTCACAAGATACTGCCGGTTGGGGCCAGTGCCCCACTCATCCTCAATGGACTCCACATTATATCCCTTACCAGGGATTGGTGGACCCCACTGAGGGGGCCGGTCAGGGAATGCATCAGCTGGAGTGAAGGGAAGCAGCTTAGATGCATGGAAGACCGGATAGGTACATAGATGCAGAGGGACGTCAATGGTGTATGACGGACCAAAAGGATCAGCCCCTACTGTATCTAACACCTGCTACGGACCCAAGTACTTAGGCAACAGCTTGGGAGAAATATCCTCCTCCCTCGACAAATTTGAACTGGCTACCCAGACATATTCACCAGTGCGAATGGGGGAAGGTCTGCGATGGCGGTTAGCTTGTTCAATCATGGCCTTCTGGGCTTTGAACAAGTTCGCTCGCGCTCTTTCCACATCAAGACGATAGCGTCTGGTGAACTCTGTTGTGCCTGGTGTCAGATCTGTCTTAGCCTTGTCGATGATATCATCGAGAGGCTGACGTGGCTCACGTCCCCAGTGTAATCGATAAGGACTGAACCCAGTCGAGGAATGGATAGACATATTATGCATAAGTTGTGCACGAGCCAGATGGAGATCCCAGTCCTGTTGATCTGGCAAAATGACATGATGTAATAGCTGGAACAGGACTTGGTTCATCACTTCAGCCTGACCATTGGCTTCAGGATGTCGACCAGAAGTCATGTCCACGAGAGAGTGCAGATAGTCCTTGCAGTAGGACTGCCACTCTTCGCTGCAAAATCGGGGATCTCGATCACTGACTATGGAAGTGGGCGGCCCATGGTGAGTGACCCACCTCTCAGAAAAGGCTGCTCTCACAGCCGGGACCCTCGCCACCTCTGGTAAGGTGATGAACTCTGCGTATTTGGAGAACCTGTCCACGCAGACCATAACCTGACGCATGCCACGAGGGGTGGTCTTGCCTAAATCTGTGAAGTCAATGGACACAGACTGAGCAGGACCATCAGATATGGGTAGGGGTTTGAGCAGTCCTAGAGGAGGTTTCCGCTGAACCTTGTTCCTCTGACATAGCTCACAGGTTTCCACATAGCGTAGCATCTCACTCCGCATCTCCTTCCAGAAGAAGCGTTGCGACAAGGCTGCATACGACTTTAGGAACCCAAAGTGTCCACGCGCATCATGGCATTCTAACGTCAGCAATGTCCTAAGTTGCCGGTCCTCAGGAATGCATAAGCGCTCCTCCCCTCTGTTGTAGGTATACAGCAGATCTGAACTCATCGCATAACCAGGTTCAGAATTAGGATCAGCTTGCAAGTTCCTGACAATGGGTCCATAAGTCGGGTCTTGAGGTAGTAAGCGAGCAATGGTCTGACGGGTCTCCTCTCCAAAGGAGTGAGTCGAGGAGATCAATGCAAAAGAGTCACGCCTACG